TCTGTCTATGAGAATGGAAAGAATTAAGTGCAAATTACTTAGTATGCAGGTGTATATCGAGGAATGGAAACAAAAATGACAAATATAATTTTAGATTCAGTAATATGTGTTCCTTAAATAACCTTTGCTCTGAAAGGTTAAAATACTGTGAGAAAATGGAAGTGTGAAGAAATGGTTTATTAGATATTCATTCTTGAACTTCAAGGCATCCATGTCTTCATGTATTCAATGATGCATAAGAAACTTTAAAATCATACCCAAAAGAAAATTCTTATGACTCATAACAGACAAAAGTTTATATATGTTTTATAAAGAATTCCTGCAAAGCAATAAAGAAACATAAATCAATAGAATAATGGGTTTTGGGTATGAACAGACAATTCATCAAAGAAGTACAAATACATAATAAACATATGAAAAGATGAGCTTCACCAGCTAAAACAGATAAGTATATTTTTTCTACTCAAATTAGAAAAATGTAAAAGATTGATATCAGCAACTGCTGGACAGGTGTGAGGCATGGAGAAATGAGCTCTCTTTTATATTGTTGGTAGAAATATAAATTTACACAAACTTTTGGATGATAATACAGTTTTCCCTATTAAAATCTGAAAAGTACATGTCCTGTTACCCCACTTCCAGGAATCCATCCTATAGACAATAGCTACGTGATAACGTAAAAATAAAATAGAGGATGGTCATTACAGAGATATTAGTGACAGTAAAAATTTAGGAACGACTTAAATATCTATTGAGAAATGAATAAATAAAGGTGTAGATATAAAATCATTGCAGTCATTAAAAAAAAAGAACTGACAGTCAGGGTTTCTGATGTACTGGCAACATATTGGTTTTTCTAAATCCAAGTAGTAAATGTAGGGGTGTTCACTATGGATATATTTATATACATATATAGTTGGATATGTTTTTACATGCATCTGAATTTTCACAAAAAATGAAAAGGAATGAGTGAGGATAAAATTATGTGAATTAATCCAGTAAAATATATATAATATATTAAGAAAAAACATATTAGGCCATAAAGACCATTATGAATGCCATAATCCCAATTTTATAGGAAAAAAAGTACTATGTATGCATATTTATGACATGTCATTATGCTTCTATATATATAAAAAACCAAGGAGGATATGTAGCAAACCTCTGGAGAATGGGATTAGAAGGATGCTTTTAGGAGGAATGGAGTGGCAATGGAGAGCTTTCATAATTTTCCTAAAATATAAAATATGTTTGATGGTATATATATGTATATATTTACTTTTATGTGTGTTTCAAATGACAAAAAAAAGAAAGCTTACTTAGAAGAATTGAAGAAAGCAAAACAAATGTATTGAGACCAAATATGAATACGTTCCAGTAATATTTATCCAGCAATAGAAAGTTATTTATGCAGTTAATGAACAATTATCAAGTATTTTTTACACACATAATAAAAAAATTATCCTATGTACTTGGAAAGGGATAGTTTCTAGAAAAATTTAAGACACTGTAGTTTCTCACATTGTATTAGAGAAATTATCAACTACAGATGATCTATTTTTAATACAAATTTTGTGGTGATAGATCTGAATTCAGTTAGAAATCACAATACATTAAGAATTTTTTCCAAATAGCAATAAAAGCAGATGTTTGTTCAGTGCTAATTAAGTTCTAGGCATGATTCTAAATGCTTTATATGTATTCATTTATTTAAATATTACAACCAATCATTATAATCATGTCTATTTTACAGTTGAGGAAAATGAGATATAGGGAGGTTAAATAACTTGACAAAGCTCACAACTTATAAGTAGTGGTGCCAGGATTCACACCCAAGCATTTTGATACTAATACTTCCACCATCCTACATTGTCTCTTATTATTTCAAGTAAAACCTAATATTCATTTAAAATGATGTGCTATTATATTAAAGTATGTTTTGTGTCACCCTGTAAGGCACATGAAAACATTTTGAAAAATATAAAATGCTATAAAATGTAATATATGATTGTAAAATTTTAGTTATTCACTTTCTTCCCATAACTAACAGATGCTTTACTGTGACAGAGAGTTACATTGGATGTTACACTTATGGAGACAAAGTTTGGGTTTGAAAGAAATAATATACAATTTCAAGAAACTGATCAAAATTAACTGTTTCTTATTTACTTATGTAGACTAGTATTAATTGCTCCAGCAATTATTTTTATACATTCCAATTCCAACTATGGAGCAAGTTATCACGATTTATTTATTAAGATTTATTCTGCGATAAAACTTTGGGAGTAAGTGGACTATGCAATCCTTTTTTTCCAACAAACTTAAATACAGTCTAGAAGATGGAAGGCATTTCACAAATTTCTGGAGAACAATAACAATGTATATAAGGAAGGATTAGAATGAGTGTCAAAGATATATAAGAAATACGTAACAGTTCAAAAAAATTAAAGAAATACATAACAGTTCAGAGAAGGTAGACACTGTCAAGATATGAAAGGAAGGAATTCTTATGTCTAATGTGGAACTGAAGTTTGGTCTGCGAGGGAGTGAAAGAATTGAGGAGCCATAAAAAGAGAGTACTTTACTTTTGTTTTTGACAGCTAAACATAATTATGATGTTGTTTTACCTACTTTCTTGGGACTGCTGGAAAATCACTATAATGATGGAATTACATTTAAAAAAAATACCTTACACTGCTCAGTAGGAAGTTGCTAGTCTTTTAAAACTAATCATGTGATAATGTTTGAAAAAACTGTTCTTTCTTTTCCTTAATCCAACAATTAAATGATGAGAAACGCTTCCTTTGTAATTCTTTTATGCATTAATTACTAGTAATTAACTACTGCTTCCCTGACTTTAGTTAGACAAACCTAAGCAGATGTACAGATAGCTGATTATTTGTTATGGTATATACATCTTACTAAGATTAGTAATTACTAATTAGTAATTAGTAATTAGTAAGATGTATATACCATATACATCTTATATGTATATATACCATATACATAATTACATTTCTAATTAATTAATAATTAATTAGAGATGTAAAGGATATCGGTCAAAGTTATCCAGTAACAATCAGGGCTTCTTAACTTTCATTTCAAAGTTTCACCATACTCAGGTATTCATGGTGTGGAAATATGAAAGCAAAAACATCAAGAATCTGGACTCTCACATGAATAGTAGGATGTAGAAAAGAACAGAGGATTACAGTGAGTTAACAACTGCCAATTCCTTAATATGCAAATGTTTGTACCGGGAAAAATCATCTAAGTAAAATACTTCATGCTGTAGAGGGGAAAGGAAATTGCATGAGAATTAGCTATTCAAGAAAGGTCAAGTTAGAGACAACTTTAATGATGGAGCTGCAAGGAAGCGGTTTAAGAATATTTCCTTAAAAGAAAGTCAGAGCAACTAATTTTATTATCTTTAATGAGCTCCCTGGGCCTTATCTAATGTTTTCTCAGAAATCCTCTTGTAAATCCTTAAATTTACAGAGGTTCTTAAAAGAACTCCCACTCTTCCCCTTCTATGGGGTAAAAAGAGTCTGTCATATTGTGGGGAGGGGAGGACAGGGCAGTGGGTAGGTATTCGTGCCAACAGACTGAGAGCTTGTCCCAAAATAAATGCCTGGAAAAAATCCAAATTTTCAGTCATCAATATTCCATCCCTATTCCACACAAGCAAAAAGGAACAAAATACACAGTAAGAAAAGCAGACAAATTAAAGGAGAAACTATCAGAGGCTCCCTGAAACGGTTTCTTTTTAAAGTGGGTTGACAGAAAAGGTCAAGGTCAGTATATCTTCCTATACAAACTGTAGTTCTGATGAAGCAATATGGAGCAGTAACCAAAACAATCACAAAGGCAGTAAAGGAGAATATTGTTTAATAAGGCCGTCCATATTTGGGTCCCTCAGGAAACTGAATAATATTGAAATTTGAGTGCACTGGGGCATGACCACAAATGCAAATTGCATACTAAAATTTTCAGCTTGAAATTTTCAAAATTAGTTTTTGAAATTAATTAATTCAATTACTTTTTAATTAAATTAGAACATTCAAATAAGCAATTGGGTTTTTTTTTCTGCATGGGAATTTTTCAATTAGGTTTATATTGCTTCAATGAATGGACTGCTTGATTTTTTGAGGATTGGAAATAATACATTATTATCCAGCAGCTAGGTCAAAAGGTATAGGTAACAATTACTACTATTTCCTTGAACCCAGAGTGTCTTAAGTTGGATATATTCTTTGTCTACTCTTCCTTACAATATCTCCTCCTACCCAGAGGGAGAGAGAAACATTATAAACAACAAAATATTCTTTGGAGCTCATGCTCTTCTCTCGAATCTGTGTGAGATGGAGATGGGAAAAATGATTTATAAAATTGATTAATAAATTGTCAGATAATATACTTTATAATGAGACTTAAAAAGATTGGTGAACAATAATGCTAAAAAACTTAAAGAGAAGAACCCAGGGAACTAATTCACTGTCTAGTTTTATTACCATGTACAGATGACACTTAGCCTCAGTTTTGTCATTTACAAACCTACTTAAGAGTAGTTGTGAGAAACAAGATGAGATTAATATCCTAAAACAAATACAGAACTGTATACAAAAGCAAGCTATTATTGACTTATTTTTACGATTTGTCATTTAGCATGTAAATGCTATCTCTTATGAAAAGCACTGACCTAAAATCTAAATTAAAACTACACTGGCCTTTTTTATCTATAAATAGGGAGAAATAAATAAATAAATAAATAAAATAAATAAATAAATAGGGAGTAAGGTCATTTACAGTTTCTTTGGTAAAATGCTATTGGTAGGGGCTAGTTGCCTGTAATAAATTTACATGGACTTTCTTCAAAATTTCATATTTATTATCTGTATTAGCTAAAATTAGGTTTGGCATCAAATGACAGAAACAATAGCTTAATAAGATGAAAGCTTCTTTTTGTCTCATATAAATGTCAGGAACAGCTCATGACTCACAAGATAACCCATGCTGCAGGAATCCAGGATCCATTCATCTCAATGTTTTGTCCTACCAGGCTTCAACCTCACAGTCCAAGATGGCAACATCACATTCCAGAGGAGCATAACTGGGAAAAGGTCAGAAAACAAGAGTGAAAGGACATACAACCTGCTGTCTCTAAGGAACGGTCATGAAAACTGCCACAAGACACTTCTATTTGTATGCTATTGGCCATGCCTGGTTGCAAGCTAGAAACGGAGTATAAAAAAGAAAGAAAGAAAGAAAAGAAAGAAAAGAAAGAAAGAAAGAAAGAAAGAAAGAAAGGAGAAAGAAAGAAAGAAAGAAGAAAGAAAGAAGAAAGAAAGAAAGAAAGAAAGAAAGAAAGAAAGAAAGAAAGAAAGAAAGAAAGAAAGAAAGAAAGAAAGAAATGGAGTATCCATTGTGAACGTTCACAGTTCTAAGACTCTACCACCATGGGAACAACTACTAGGGTTAACTAGCTATCTCTGTCATTTATCATTTCATTTAATAGAATTATTTTAGTTTAGAAACTTTTTCTTCCTGAAAGAAAAAAGAGAATGAACAGAAAAATATGTCAGGAGAGTGAAATAAAGCCACTTTGGGAGTGTATATCATTGTCTTTCTAATTTTGAAAATTAGTAAGCCCAATAATGTAAAAGATTTTAAATGTTGATTATTTTTATCATTATGTAATCATTATGCCTATACTTTTGAATATCTAAAGTATCTTATTTCTCTGACTTTGCATTGACCTAAACTACACTACATAAAACTACAAATAATGTAATCATAAATAATACGAATCTCATAGCATATAAAGTATGTAACAGAACCTCTACAGGGAGGCAGTATGAAAATATGGCAAGAGCACAGGCTCTATAAGGAAAGTCTTGGAATGGAAGCCCCCCATTCATCCACTCATTCATTCATAGCATCTACTGCTGTTCCGTACATATGTCTCAGGTAGCGTGTCTTATGCATAGCATTTACAGTCTATTTAGGGAAACAGGAATAAAATGTACAATTTTACAAGTACTAATTCAAATTAAAAGTGTGATAAGTAATTCAAAGTAGGAGTATAGGGTACTGTGAACACCTAGAAGTAAGACCTAGCAATTAAACAGTCCTGGAGAATTTATATTTATTAGTTGAAAGATCTTCTACACTTAAAAGTTTAGATACACTATAAAGTAAAAAAAAGAAAGAAATTGCAAAACAGTGTGAGCAGTATGATTCAATTTCATTTAAAATGTTGCACCCAAAATATTATTACATGTAAAGAGATCCATAAAAAATTATAGGATATATCTGATATATATATATGTTTTGTTTATATTATATTTACATAAAATACATGCAATAAGTATGTATTTTTTGTGCTTAAAAATAAGTAAATGAAAATAAAGAAAAAGAAATAAAAATGCATTTAAAAATAAAACTTAGGGATATAAAACTGACTGTAACATCAGTCTGGCATTTGGACATTGACCTGCACCTAGTAAATACTCAAGGAAAGCTTTAATTACATTGGTAGAAAAAACGATATTAACACATACACGCACATGCACAAATGCGCACGCAGATATATTTTCTAATAAAACAAATAATGTTTTGAAGTACATTAGTTTATTTATTTTATAATACAAGTTCAAAATTTGGTATCTATCCTTAAAGATAATTATATTTTCCCATAAAAGACAGGGAAAATAAATCCTGATTCTCCTTAGTTTTCGGGAATATTGAAAGAACTAAAGTAATGATGATTTGGCTCTCACAAATAAAAATACACACACTGAAAATTGATTATATGAAATACCATGCTTTATGGAAAATACTGATAAAAAGTAGTTTACCAACTCAACAAATATATATTGGTACCCATTTTGTACCAGATCTTGTGCGATGCTCTGCAGATTCCAAAATGAAAAGGACGTAGACTCTGCCTTCAAAATACTTTTGAATTAGTGATAGAGATATATAAATAACTTTCTTTAAAAACTACTAGAAAAATAAGTAACCATAGGCAATTTTTATGTTTTTTTAATTTATATTTTTGAAAGATTTTATTTATTTGACAGAGAAAGAGAGAGAGAGAGAGCACAAGTAGGGGAGCAGCAGAGGGAAAGGGAGAAGCAGACTCCCCACGATGTGGCGTTCCATCCCATGACCCTGGGATCATGACCTGAGTGGAAGGCAGACGCTTTAACCAACTGAGCCACCCAGATGCCCCCTTGGTAATTTTTAGATCTACACATGCTAGCACATGCACATACTTTCATAGAGAGTTTTATACTTTAACATCAGGGCAACCAAGGGCAAAGAGCTCAAATGGTTTCCCTTGTTGCAAAAACATAAAAATACAGAAAAATGCATTTGGGCTGAGGGGATTAAAAAAAAAAAAGGAGGAAGACAAATTTTGCTTAAATATCCATCATACTTAGAAAATTTGGTGGCTCCTTTTTAAAAAGTCACATTCCAGGCTTTATGAAATGATGCTAAACTGTGAGATAGTTTAGTTGCTGACCATGTAAATCATTATGGAAAAAGTCCTTCTCATATCTCAAAAAAGTTCTGCTTTTCTTTTTTTGTCAGTTTTTTTAGTGGTGACTGTGGTAACAAAGGAAAGCCTTAGATCCACAGTGATAAGACAGAGTGGTTATTTTTCTTTCTTGACAGTCAGCATGGACATTTATACTGAGAGTAATAAGCATTTTCATTATCCATGTAATGAAACTCCTTTGTAATGGTGTTCAGAGACAGAACTAGCTCTCAGACATCTAATCATTCATCCCACCAACATTTTTCTTTCATCTAGAATGTGCCAAATAATTTCCGGACCCTGGACAGTAAGAGGTGAGGAAGGCATGGTCCAGGCCCTTGAATTCACACAGAAGCTTACTGTGAATGCAACAAATTTCCTATAATGTGGCATGCTGTGGTTAACAGAATTAACTATATACCCTTAACCAGATAGCCTTCATTTCTTCATTTAATAAATATGTACTGAGTTCCTTCTATGTACTAAAAACTGAGCTATATATAATATAGTTGTAAACACAGACATAACCTCTATTCAAAAGGAGCATATAGTCTGTTAGGGGAAAAATGAGACAGAAATTGTTATTTCCTACACGGTTTCCATTCTCCCTTCTTCTTTTTTAAAAGAAGTCTGATTCTTGTCTAGGGAGCAGTATGTCCAGTTCCAGACAATGGATGACGATTCATCTCAGCCCATGATTCCCAAACTGTGTGTCCAGTCTCCAAGGATGCCAAAGTAAACTCACTGGGGGACCATGGCATAGTTTAATTTTCAAGAGAAGCAGTATGACTCAAAATTTGTTGGACTGTGTCAAACTACTAGCTTAGGGTACAGTTTCCATATTAAATCACTTCGTTCCTTCAGAATATGCCATAACTACTAGCTTAGGGTACAGTTTCCATATTAAATCACTTCGTTCCTTCAGAATATGCTATATGCAAAGCAGGATTTTCAGTGGTTGCTGTGATTAAAAAACAAACAGATATGGCATGAAAAGCATGGAGAACAACAAATGGCACTCTCCAATCTGATTCCAACATTTGTGAAGCTGTAGAGTGCCCAATAAGTATATACATCCTATTAGTAACATGTGGTTATTTAAAGATAGAAAAAGTATTACTTTTCTTTCAGTTTATGTGTATAATTTATTCAAATGACTGCTAAGTTATAAATGGAACTTTAATGTATTTCTTTTGGCACAAGAAAATTACTGAGACTCCAAGGGAGCTATGCACCAAGAAAGTTTGGGATCCTTTGGCCAAAGCCAATCATTTTTTTAATCCTCTTTCCTGCTTCCCTAGCTTCCTTGCATCTAAAAGTGAACATATGACCCAATTCCAGGCTAAGCAGAAATGCACCTGGAGGTAAGAGAGGAAGGACAGTGCTGAGAGAGCATTTACTTTTCAGATGAAAGGGGACAATGGCAACAACTGTTAGGTGTCCTTCAAGAGTCCAATTCCTTTAGCAATGCAATCCTACAAGATACAGGTAAAGACCACATATTCCAGCCTCCTTTCCAGCTACATGTGATCAACTGACTAAGCCCTGACCAAAAGTACATGAACAAGAGAGATACATACAAATTTTTAATCATACTCCTAAAAAGAAAGAGCATGCCTCTACTTCTTTCCCCTTTCTTGTCAGTCCCCAGGAAATTAAACAATCATCTTCAAATGCACATAGATAATATCACTAGCATTCTGAGATAAGAATGTTAGGCCTCCTTATTTCGAATCCACCACTTTTTCTATATGCTACATTCACTGAGATCTTGGAAATCTCTGCTATAATTCTATATGCCATATTTGATATGTTAATATGATGAGGTCTTTTTGATATATCATATTTATTCAAAATAACAAGACAAATTCACATCATTATAAATGCATAGACCATTGCATTATGGTTAATAAGTAAGATTTAGTTAATGGGTCAACCCAGTTTATTAACCCTGTAACAGCTAAGACCTAGACCCTAACTCATGCATTGTAGGTTCCCTCTACAAGAGGCAGGTCACATGGTAGTTGGACAGCTCCTATGGTTAGGAAGAGCTGCAAGGCAGGGCTTTAGCCATTGCTCCGTGAAGTGGAGTTTCTCTCAATCAGGAGTGGGAAGATGCAAAAGTGATTGCTTTTTATTCTATAGAATGTAGGGAGTTCTAATTTTAGTTTATGTAAAGGAGCTGAAGTAAACATGACATATACAGAGACATAAAGACAAATGGATACTTAAGGACAGACATAAACCACAAGATTATAAAATAGCAAAAGAATTCATTAAAAAATTAGCAAGAGGGATCCCTGGGTGGCGCAGCGGTTTGGCGCCTGCCTTTGGCCCAGGGCACGATCCTGGAGACCCAGGATCGAATCCCACGTCTGGCTCCCGGTGCATAGAGCCTGCTTCTCCCTCTGCCTGTGTCTCTGCTTCCCTCTCTGCATCTCTCATGAATAAATAAATTAAAAAAAAATTAGCAAGAACATGACATCTGAGACAGGTGACTTTGTAACTAAGTCATTGGAAGTTTTGTAAAAAAAAAAATCTAAAGGGATTTCAAAACATAATAAAAT